CATGGGTTGATTCAGGTCTTGTAAATAGTCTTCAAAAGTAATAGAAATGCACGAAAATCAGTTAATTCCTCCAAAACACCTACTAAGGAATTTTACTTTCTATTTCTAATATGTCTTTTCTATATTGTGCAGTCTAACGAAAAGGAGAATCATCACTTTAATTTTCAAATTCGGAATATTCTGGACACACATGGATTTGAAGGCTAAAATTTTGACTGCGAGCTGTAAACACTTTTATTGATTATCTTAGATTCAACTTTCCAGGAACTTTTGAGACTAAGGTACAATTGGTCAAGCAAATGGCGAACCTGTCCCTTTAAGTTGACATATGGATGATAATAATATTGTATATTTTTATGTTATCATCTACAAGAAATTGAGATCTTTATGAGAAAATAGTTTTTATTATAATTATATATTCACAGCACCAATATAATAATGATAATGAATCTTCTAATTAATATGTACAATTTATTTGATAAGGCCACAAAGGTTGGAATATCTATTAATTGAATGCAATGCATAGAGAAAGGAATGTTTTCAATTTCATATTTAAAGAACAAAACTGTCTTTACAACCACATATTATTTGAAATATAATTAACAACAAGTTAAACAACTGCCGATCCACACACAGCAGAGGATTGATTGCAGCTTCAATATATTCATGTATCAAGTCATTTAGTCTAAGGCAATAAAAATGAATAAACTGATCTAAGATAAAAATTTCAAGAGAAAACCACACAAAAAAACATTGTTTTGAAACATATTATGTTGGGCACATCCAAAATTTTAAGTCGTAGCACAATGACATTTAAAAAAAAAAAAAAACTCACATGAATTTGCATTTGAATTTTGAAGAAATCTTTTCTGTTAGATTCGCAACTGAATTATAAATTAATAAGTTGGTTCAGGAACAGGGTTGTTCAGAATTCAGTAAGTAAATATAAAAAAATGCCATGTAACGACCAAGAGATTTCAACATGGTGTCATTCAGTGATCAACATTTCAATTCCAGGTATATCAGCCCTATCAATGTCACTTATAAAGTAAACTATCACACATATTGATTGTCTAAATTATGTATTTATCTTTATGGGATCAAATTCTTACAGTCTAAACCAAATGAAAAGTGATGTCAGAGAAAGGCTTGTAGAATTGATAGAAACTATAAGACAATGCCCTATAAGGATATATTTCAATGAAATGAAACTATAGATACATAAATAATGATTAGAGACAGTAGATGTAACAGGAGATCATATTATAAGACATACACTACACTACACTTTTAATTAAGGTATAAGCACATAATATAAAGTCATATTAAAGAAATCTTGATACATGTATTTTTTTCAAATAAGCATAATATGAATTACTGGCCTTCATAATGCTATAAAATATGACTATGTTATTTGTGTTGTTAAATATATGAGGGACTAATAATAAAAATTCCATAACCAGTTCTATGCAGAAATCCAGGAAAATTTGCCTCAGAGAATATTATCAGTTCTATGGAAATTGGAATAAGATTTCCAAAATTTTGACAGGAGATAATCATCTTAAAAGTTGATTTACCATCTGATAGAGCTTAACATTAACTATCCATATACAAAAGATAGCTTGCCAGGCAAGGTAACATATGCCCACTACCAGCTGTCAGAATACTAACAAAATCTTTAGTGGCTTAATAATAAATTTTCAAATAATCTTAAAATCATCCATAAGTCAAGGCAAAAACCTGAAACAGTTCATCAAATTATCATGAAATTCAAACATGAACAATGTCTCATCACTGTACACACTAGTTTCATCAAGATTGGATAAAAGATTGACAAGTTTTTACTAAGTCAAGGGCAATAACTCCGAAACCCTTCGTCTGATTGTTACCAATTACGAACTCGAGTGAGATCTCATCAATATATACATGCATACCTAGGTTGGATAAAAACTGTAGTTTCTATCGTGCATACAATCGAAATTTGATTCGTTTTTACTAAGTCAAGGGCAATTACTCTGAAACCGTTCATCCGATTATTACCAATTCCGCACTTGATCAAGATCTCATCAATATATAAATGCATACCAAGTTTCATCAAGATCGGATAAAAATTGTAGTCTCTATCATCCCTACAAAGTCAAGGGAAATAACTCTAAAACCGTTCATCTGATTACTACCAATTTGTAACTTGACCGAGATCTCATCAATATATACATGAATACCAAGTTTCATCAAGATTGGATAAAAACTGTAGCCTCTATCGTGCCTACAAGAAATGTGAACGGACCTACGGACAGGGGCGACGGCAATATACGTCCATATTTCCATGTGGGCGTATAAATATGAAATAACTACTCAGGGAGTCTAGACTGTTTACACTTAACTAGGACGTTAATAACTTTTTACATGTAGTACAAAAATGGAGACAGTTAGAATTCCAGAGATTCGTTACTATTGCTTGAGAATTTCAGAGTTTCTAATACGCGAATTTCAGAGTTTCTAATACGCGAATTCCAGAGTTTCTAAAACACTAATTCCAGAGATTTGTTACTATTGCTCGAGAACCATATATCAGATTTTAATTCTGAAATGAAAAATTGGAAGCTGAAGTGTAGTTCTTTCAGATGATAAACAAATATTCCAATTGAAGGATTTTAGCTTTAAATGTGTGACAGTTGAAAATTATGTTAGTTAAAACAGCCATGTGAATCAGAATAGGTGATTTCATAATTCCACATTATATAACAGTGGAATATCAACTTTCTATCAAAATTACTTCCAAAGTTAATGTATCTAGTCAAAAGTCATCATCTAAACAAAAATATTAATTAAACAGAAGAGTATTTCTCACAGGTTTTCACTCTAAATTTATTTATTTCTAGTCTTTTTTTTAAAGTATGTAAATATATATATTTTTATATTTGATCTTACTTAATGATATTAATCTAAAGTTAATTAGAACTAACACTAGATCTGTCTTCACCTATATCTGAACTATCTGAAGGATCACTACTTGTTGATTGTTGCCATAATTTCACTGTGTGGTCACTATACAAAAAGAAAAGAAAAAAAGAAAAATGTACTTCAAAATGAAACAATAATTACTAACAAAACACAAAAGAAATTGAAAGTAAGAATAATATACTGAGAAAAGGTTTAATAGTAATAATATAAAGTTAGGTATAAATGATACCATGCAGGTGATGCTCCCAATTACCATAATTAGTTAACATATAGTACCTGTGACAAATATTTATTTACTTCTTCACATGTTTGTGAACTTTTCTTTTTGACATATTAATTTTTGGAGGCAGCTTTGGTGAACATTAAGACACAAATAATGTGAAAGCAAAAAATTCTAAATGGGATTGTATAAATTCAGTTTATTGAGTTAATATACTTATTTCTATACTATCTTTTAGACTTACACATTGATTACTTAGTTTCAAACTGAGAATTTCTACATTATTTTTTATTTTCAAAAGATGAATACTTATGTCTTTTATTCATGCAACACTAATAAAACTGTGATCAAAATACAGTTTCCATTATAAAATTAGATAGTTTTTATAACACATTCTTGTTTCATTGTTAATCAAACAGACGATACAACTAAAAATCTGAGGTAAGACATTGTGCTATTTTCAACATGGTTAAGGTGTTGTTAGGTATGAAGACCCACTTTATCACAGATACAACATATTTGTACAACATATAGCTGTGATATAAAGGATCACATGATCCTCATTTTGATATTATACCTAGGTACTAAGACTAATAGAAATAAGTTGAAGAATATCATACATTTTCCCTATTAAAAGAGGTAAAAGTAAAAATTGTTGCAGGCTGCATAACATTTGTGTCTCATATTAGCTTACCTGAATACCAAATTTTGTGGAAAGTCAGTCAAAAATTGAAGTTGCTAAAGCTTACAGGGAAAAATATCAATACAAGTTAACTGTAGATTTTAGATTGCTTACAAGGAAATGTGATATACAGACGAACATGGGTGCAAACAATATATGTCCACAAAGGAGATGTGGACTTATTTTTATGACTTTTTACTAAATAATAAACATGATATTGAAATGTATTTGTCTCTGATAGAAAATCATAAGCTATGATAAGAAGATTACATTTGATATAAAGCAGTAAAAACTAGACAACTTTCAAACCAAAGCAATGAAGAGTTGTTACTTTCACATATTACTCTCAAATGCTCAATCGCTTTTTTAACAAAATTTATTTTTTAAACCAAGAGCTACACATTTTTGAATTTAATACATCAACATGAATAAATGAAAAATAGAAACAATTTGTCCAAAATTATAGCCAGCTGAATCCCATAATGCGTAAATTCAGTATTAAGTGTAATGACAAAACTTCTGTAACAAAGTAATATCTTTTGGAACGGAGTATAAATTGAAGCAGCTTTATCTACATTTGTTAGATTAAACTACACTAAACTAAGCAGGCAGAGAAAATGCATTAGAAATACTTTATATCTTAAAGAGATTGTAAAGAGGTTTTCACATTTTGTGATGTGTATTGGGGACAATGAAAGCAACATTTTTGCCAATCCAATTTTCGATCAGACATCTGTGGTTCTAGCAATTCTACTAAAACTAAGTGTTTTATGATGTCACCCCGCAAAGGTCTCATGTGATACAAGCAAATTTTGCAGGGGTGACGTCATAACACACTTAGTTTTAGTGGAATTGCAGGAACCAGAGACCTGTGATTGAAAATTGGTGAAAATTGTCCCCGATAAACATAGAAAATTTAGAAAACCTCTTTACAATTCCTTTAAGTTAGATTTAACAGATAGAATTTGACATGCTATATAAGATTTTAAAACACGTGATATCAAAATGACAAAATTCCTAACCCCATTCTAAGAAAAAAAAGAATCTGCAATTAACATTGATATTTCAAGACATAATTATTAGTATGCTTCTTGAACCATGTTTATTTAATTCAGGTCAAAAAAATATCATTACTTACTTGGAAGCAGTAAAAATTGAAGAACTGTTGGTAGCTATGGCATTAATTGGACTACTATGTGCCTTCATTTCGCCTACAGGAGTAAAATTATCAGTCTGCCATAACTTCAGAAAACCACCACGACAACCGCTAATCAAATAGTTACTGTTTGGAACAAAATCTAAGGCACACACCCAATCTTTATGAGCTTGATTCATTGACTACAATAAAGATAGAGCAATATAATCTGTCTGGACCATGAATCAGTTATTTAATTATTAGTAATGACTTTAATACCAATAAATGAAAATAATAATGTATAAATTACTATACAAGCTGTCCATACATGTTTTTTTTATATATTAATATTACATATACGTCTAATGAATTCCAATGTCTTGTAATTTGAAATATATGTGTTTTACCTGTTTTAATTGTTGATCTTCTAAATTCCATTTCTTGATACAGGAATCTCTGGAGCCACTGAATAATGTTTGGTCAGTAATAGCTAATGATTGGATACCATCATAATGTGGTGGTTCCAGGCCATATTTGGGTGATAAAACTCCAGCTGCATCATCTATTACTTCAAAAATCTACAATTAATTTAAATATTTACTACATTTGATTAAAGCTAGTCAAACTAAGCTTACAACCTCATAGGATTGACGAAAAAATTTTAAATGTTTCAACTTGGCCAAAATGAGTGGCCATCTGTCAACTTACCTGGTGTTATAACTATACAACAGAATCCATCTATAATCCAATAAATCCATAAAACTAAGTAATAATTCATTAAACTAAATAATATTGAAACCTGCTTAGAAGTGTACTATTTAGTTTAATGGATATATCTTCTTATATAGAGATGCTATTCTTTAGTCATGGCAGCTTGCAAGTCAAACGGATGAATAAAACCTCTGTTGACCAAGTTTGAGACTTTAATTTTATGTCAATTACAAGAGGTTATAAAAATAAGAATTAATAAGACTAGAAGATTTTAACTAAAAGGCTTCAGTCAAGACATAGATAATGTTTAACAGTACAAAAAAAAATTAAATTATGTATATAGCATATATTTGCATAAAGCATATATGCCTGCAGAGATGATTTAGTTATTAAGAGCATAATTACGAAAATGATGATAAAAATATTCACCGCTAGTTATACTTGTCCTAATGTTTAAATGTTGTTTATCATCACTTCCTCTGTTAAAAATCAACTCAGTAAACATATCATAATGAATAGTTTTAATAGAAAGTACCTTGATGGTGTGATCCTTCGAGCCTGTTACTACTAAACTAGATGTATCTTGAGCCTTTACAGCCAACACCATTACAGCTGCTGTATGCAGACCACTCAATTTACCAACAGCACTATATCTAAAAAAAATAAAAGATAGCTTGCCAGGCAATGTAAGGTACGCCCACTACATGCATATCTAGTTTCATAAAATCTGTAGCCTCTACGACTACAAGACAAATTTAACACGTTTTTTCTAAGTCAAGGGCAATAACTCCAAAACCATTCTTCCGATTATTACCAATTTCGGACTCGACTGAGATCTCATCAACATATACATGCATACCAAGTTTCATCACAGATAAAAACCGTAGCCTCTATCGCGTCTACAAGAAATGTGGACGGACCGACAGAATAATTCAGTAAACTAAACTATGTAATTAATTATGTTGTTTAATGGATATTTTCTTTATAGAGATTCTATTCTTCAGTCTTAGCACCTGGTAAGTCCAACTGATGAATAATATATATATACATGTTGACCAAGTTTGAGACTTTAAATTTCATGTCCATTTTAAGAGGTAGTATCCTTTTAAAAAGCAGCTTTCCATAATTCCTAGAAATATTTTTAATTTAGCAAATTATGATTTATAATTTTTTGGTCATCTGTGATAACGGCACATTTTAGTAGTCTGTGTGTCAAATAATAATCTGATATAAATTACACTTACCGTCTGAGATCCCAAGCTCTCACTATATTACCAGTAGCACAATATAACATAAATCCATCCTCACTGAGAGCTATATCATTAATATGATGTTCACCAGGAACTAGGTCTGTTTGTCTAGTAGTTGATATATTTACTGTACCACTACTACTTAATCCAGATGAACTATGACAAGTAAAGGAAGCTTGTTAGGAATAGTAATATCACATAATATTACAGAGGTGCAGTTTTCATTAGTCAATGCATGAAATCAAAAGTGGTAGAAACTTGGCAGAAGTATCACAAAATATCAATATCAGAGATCACAAATATAAGATAACCTTTTGCCATTTGCTATTGTTATTCTAAAACAAAAATCTTAGTTTATTATGTTTTGCAATCACATAACTTGACTTTGGTTTTCCTGTCATGTGGAAGACAGTAAACAGATAAAAATACTTTCCATCCATCAAGTTGGTTGTAAGTAAAGTTAACATTTTTAGAGGATTTACGGTAAAAAAATCTAATTCTATATGAACAGATGGTGAACAGTACCTTAAAGTTTTGATGCATTTACTGGAATTATCTCTAATGTCCCATACTTTCACATAGGATTGAGACACAGTGAATGTCATTTTATTTTTTTCACAATATTTCACTTTTAAAACATTATTAGGATGGCCTGAGAATGATATTAATTCCTTTCCAGTTGTCAAATCCCAGGTTTTGGCTGTTCTATCTGGAAAATATGATTGGAAAATAAATTAATAAAACAATTTAAACTGTCTGAGTAGTACAGTCAAGTAACCTAATTTCCTGGTAACCTATTTTTCGTAGATTTCCGGAAAGGATTAATAGTTTACATGTGCGACCTCGCGTGACCTCGGCATTTGCTTGTGTTGATAAACATATGTTATCTCTACAATGTCAGCTAGTAGAATGAATTCAGTAGTTTCAAGAAAGGTAAAATCTATTAATGTATACTTTGACAAATACAAAATGGCGGATTTCACTTATTACCAACGTCACCATTTTTTTCGGCCGAATTTCCTTATAATCCCAAGCGGTAATCGGAATTCCAAGTGTCGTCTGCTAGAATGTAGTCCAACGAATGAAGTCACATGATCAACTAGCTGATTCCGTGTCAGCAGAAAATTTCTATGGAACACAAAGTGGACCATATTCTTATGTTGTTTCAGTGACTTTTAGCAATAAATCACGCTATGTATCTTATTTTGTCAGTCACTATTTTTTTTTTAAATCGTGGTTCTTTGAAGGAATTGTCTCTAGTTATAATGAATTGATATTAAAAATAAATACTAAGAGAAGTTAATTATACCACTTGTTATCCATACAACGTGTTTTTCTCGACTTATTTATAGATCAAACATTGGACGCGAAAATAGGTGACGCATTCTGTCGCCGTTGCCGAGTTGGTTGCTCATGAAATATGGGTCAAAGTGAAGGATTCATAAAGAAAATCAAAATAAACCAATTTTAATTATTTCGTAGAATATCTGAGGAAACATCTAAGACATAAAAAATTTTTTTTTTTTTTTTTTTAACTTTGACGAAATTCAGTGTTGAATCCTTATATCCACGAAAATAGGTTACACTACTATATAACTCTCACTACAAGTAATTAACAAAAACATAACTTACTTTTACTTCCAGTATATAGTATGAGATATAACGTAGTAATACTACCAATTAATAACAACAGATGCAATGTAGCTTTAATAATTAACAACAGCTACAGCTTATTTAGGGTATGACAACAGATACAACTTAATTTTACTACCAGTAAATAACATGTAAATAAGAGCAGGTACAACTTACCTTTACTACATGTAAATAACAGCAGATACAACTTAATTTTACTACCAGTAAATAACAGATACAACTTACCTTTACTACATGTAAATAAGAGCAGGTACAACTTCCCTTTACTACATGTAAATAACAGATACAACTTACCTTTACTACATGTAAATAACAGCAGATACAACTTACCTTTACTACCTGTAAATAACAGATACAACTTACCTTTACTACATGTAAATAAGAGCAGGTACAACTTACCTTTACTACATGTAAATAACAGATACAACTTACCTTTACTACATGTAAATAAGAGCAGGTACAACTTACCTTTACTACATGTAAATAACAGATACAACTTACCTTTACTACATGTAAAAAAGGGCAGGTACAACTAACCTTTACTACATGTAAATAACAGATACAACTTACCTTTACTACATGTAAATAACAGCAGATACAACTTACCTTTACTACCTGTAAATAACAGCAGGTACAACTTACCTTTACTACATGTAAATAACAGATACAACTTACCTTTACTACATGTAAATAACAGCAGATACAACTTACCTTTACTACATGTAAATAACAGATACAACTTACCTTTACTACCAGTAAATAACAGCAGGTACAACTTACCTTTACTACCAGTAAATAACAGATACAACTTCCCTTTACTACACATAAATAACAGCAGGTACAACTTACCTTTACTACATGTAAATAACGTCAGATACAACTTACCTTTACTACCTGTAAATAACAGCAGGTACAACTTAATTTTACTACCAGTAAATAACAGCAGGTACAACTTACCTTTACTACATGTAAATAACATCAGATACAACTTACCTTTACTACCTGTAAATAACAGCAAGTACAACTTACCTTTACTACATGTAAATAACATCAGATACAACTTACCTTTACTACTTGTAAATAACAGCAAGTACAACTTACCTTTACTACATGTAAATAACATCAGATACAACTTACCTTTACTACCAGTAAATAACAGCAGGTACAACTTACCTTTACTACCAGTAAATAACAGATACAACTTCCCTTTACTACACATAAATAACAGCAGGTACAACTTACCTTTACTACATGTAAATAACGTCAGATACAACTTACCTTTACTACCTGTAAATAACAGCAGGTACAACTTAATGTTACTACCAGTAAATAACAGCAGGTACAACTTACCTTTACTACATGTAAATAACAGCAGATACAACTTACCTTTACTACATGTAAATAACAGCAGGTACAACTTACCTTTACTACACATAAATAACAGCAGGTACAACTAACCTTTACTACACATAAATAACATCAGTTACAACTTACCTTTACTACCTGTAAATAACAGCAAGTACAACTTACCTTTACTACATGTAAATAACAGCAGATACAACTTACCTTTACTACATGTAAATAACAGCAGGTACAACTTACCTTTACTACACATAAATAACAGCAGGTACAACTTACCTTTACTACATGTAAATAACAGCAGATACAACTTACCTTTACTACCTGTAAATAACAGCAGGTACAACTTACCTTTACTACATGTAAATAACAGCAGATACAACTTACCTTTACTACATGTAAATAACAGCAGGTACAACTTACCTTTACTACCTGTAAATAACAGCAGGTACAACTTACCTTTACTACATGTAAATAACAGCAGATACAACTTACCTTTACTACCTGTAAATAACAGCAGGTACAACTTACCTTTACTACCTGTAAATAACAGCTCATCAGTAGCATCAACAGTTAAAACAGCTTTAGTGTGCCCACCAGCAGTATGTGTACAAGTTAAAGGAGAACTTCGACCACTTGATGGTTTACTACCATTTGAAGCTTGTATACTTCCCCTAGAAAAGAAAAGAATTACAATGTAATCATACGTTTGTTGCAGAGATGATTGATGGATTGAATCACTATAATGATTTGTTGAAAAAAATCTCCAACATAGTCACTAATTTAGTACAATTACTTTCATCTGTCTCAGTTTATTTATGATTATTAACACATATACAGATTAATTTAGACTGTTCTGGGAAAGAAAATGTAAAAAAAGATTTCCTTTACAGTGAAATTCATAACATGTTTTAGCCTTACAATCTTAAATCTTTTACTTGATATTTTAGTATTGATTAGTATTTTAAGTTTTCACCTACCGTATTATTAAGATTAACTATTGCATGGGTTATTTTCATCTTGAAATTTTCATCCTTTTACAGCAAATGAAATATTTCTTTGAATGCATACAAATACTAACTTGGCTACACCATGTATGATGAATATTCAAAGAGCTGTTTAATGTATTGTGGTTACCTGTTAGGATTAGGTGATGGTACAACTGTATTACTAGTTAATCTAGAGAAAACATTATCATCTGAACTACGAAATGATCTTCTAGTCGTAGTTGGTGATGTTGGTGGAGTTGTATCAGAAAATTCACTACAAATAGAACTTTTTTTTTTAAATAATATTTTCAATGGCTTAAATAAGATTTAAATTTAACAATTAGGAGAAATTAATGTGAATCAAATTCAAATTATTGGTGAAAAAAATACCTACACAGAACTAGATCTGGTCATGATATCAGGTTTGTACGTCTTTCTCCTCAATGCTGGAGATGGTTCAGGACTTTTAGGATATTCTTTACGTCTCATACTTGGTGATGGTCCAGCATTAAATCTGCCACTACCACTTCTGTAACAAAATCATAATAAAAGATAGCTTGCCAGGCAAGGTAACATACGCCCACTACCAGCTGTCAGAAATGATAACAAAATCTTTAGTGGCTTAATAATGAATTTTCAAATAATCTTAAAATCATCCACAAGTCAAGGCAAAAACCTGAAACAGTTCATCAAGTTTTCAAGAAATTCAAACATGAACAATGTCTCATAGCTGTACACACAAGGGCAATAACTCGGAAACTATTGATTTGATTATCACCAATTTCTACCTTGACCGAGATCTCATCATGCATATCAAGTTTCATCAAGATAAAAACTGTAGTCTCTATCGTGCTTTTATCAATATGAATATCAAGTTTCATCAAGATCGGATAAAAACTGTAGCCTCTATCGGGCCCACAAGAAATGTGAACGGACGGATGGACCGACGGACATAAAAATGAATACTAGACAATAGCCAGATAGTATACAGTTTGTAAAATGAAAAACTTTCTTCTTTCAATTAACTATATACTGGTATATAAAACCAATGTCCATAACCAATTGACAATAAGAGATTCTAATCCATGTACAACATACCCAAAAAGTCAAAGACTGTCTTTGGTTTTAATTAATTTTTTGATTTGATTACAAAAATATGCATATAAATTTCATTAAATTGAGTTACAGCTAAATTTGAATAGTAAGTTAGGAATAGTTTACATAGAGAAAGATGTTCTAGTTAATCAGTAGGCCCCTACTGGTAACAAAGAAAGACTTTTTTTCTCAAATCTTTCGTAAATAATCTTCATCATGCAAAAAGAAATATCTTTGAATTTCTGAAGGTGTAATTGTTGCAAAATTATCAGACTTTTACATAATGTACAGATATAATATTTTATCTAAAATAATGAAACTTATTCTAACTAAGATTGTGATTATTACCTTGTCATTTTCGGTGCAGCACCTTTAGGTGGTGGCATTAGACTATCTCCAGCAGCTTTTTTCTTTAGTTCAGTATTTAGATCATCTTTTTCTTCATCTGGTGTCTCCAATACCGGTAATAATGGTGGAGTAGGGTAAGCTGGAGGTGTGTCTAATATACCACCAGCATAAAGAAGATCAGCTGGTGTGGCAGTCTTTCGTCGTGCCTAAAATCATATTAGAACATATTTATAAATTCTGTTCACTCAAAAGAAAATACATTTAAAGCACATTATTACAAATTGCAAAAGATTGAGAAAAAAATTGAGAGATTGCAAGGATAAAGAACAAGTTGGGGTACAACAAACCACAGCAGCTTTAATGTTTCCTGTGCCTTTGCCTATTTTATAGTAAAAATTTGTGGGGTTCTATGACATAGTCTGTTACAGCATGACATAATTTGCTTGGTCACCCATAATTCCAGTCGACCCAGCTGTAAAATATAGTTGTTTCTCTTTTTTTAACTCACAATTCAAGATTACCAAAGCACTCTAAGAAAACAACAAGATCTTATTTGGTACTTAAAGTTTCTGTTCTATTATGAACTCTATGATAAATAACATGGCAGCCCTTCAGAGCTAAAGATGAAATTTTGTCAGGACAAAAAATCCTTCAATTATTCAATTAAATTTTTCATTGGTCAACAAACCGTCAAAAATACTATGTCTTATGATTGAGTGGGATTATAAAATTATATTTATCCCTATATAATTACAGTATATTTTAACATATAAATTGTTGAAGAAATTGTAAAGTTTGAATGAATTATGAGTCAAGATTAGTTTACTAGCTATAACAGAATGCATGTTTTAAGGGAAAAAGAAATGGTTGTATTTATATAGATAGCTTGCAAGGCAAGCTAACATACGCCCACTGGCAGCTGGCAGAAAGGATAAAACAGTCTTTAGTGGCTAAAGTACGAATTTTCTCATATTGAATAAATTTTATTAGTTTGAAATCAATTACATATATATATGCCAGTTATTTATGCTGAGTAATTCCACAAAATTTTTTAAAATCAATATCAAAAACCCAAATACAACAAACAATTAAATCACACAGCTCTAATCAAGGGAAAAAAACTTTTGACGCGTGTTTACAAAGTCAAGGGCAATAACTCAAAATCATTTCATCTAAATGCGTCAAGTTAGAACTTGTCCGAGATCTTATCAATTCCAATGATCACACCAAGTTTCATCAGAATCGGTTGAAAACTGTAGCTTCAATCCTGCTCACGAACTATTTTAAACAAATTTCGATGCGTTTTAACAAAGTCAAGGGCAATTTCTCAAAAACCGTTCATCGAAAATATGTTAAATTCGATCTTGACTGAGATCTTATCAATCTAAAGCATCACACCAAGTTTGATCAAAATCAGATGAAAACTGTAATCTCTATAGTGCTCACAAGAAATGTTGACGGACGGACCAATGGACAGGGGCGAATATAATATACGACCACATATTCATGTGGGCGTATAAACACAGTAATAGGTTGATATGACTTACAGTTATTGGTACTATGAAAAAACAGCTTAATATGTTAACACGAGAAAATATTTTTCATTGAATATCAGTTTTGTTTTAGTTTGATGACTTTCATATATATCAACTGAACCTTATAGTTTTTCCACAAAATCTTTTTTAATTAGTAGCAATAACCAAAATATTTATACATCAAATTATCAAGATTACAGTGCTCTCGTGACATTAAGACATTTTACAAGTCATGGCAATACCTCATAAACAAATTATCATAAAATTCAAACAATCTTTCATCAACATACACGTTTTCATTTTTTCCTAAACGTTAGATAAACAACAGAAGTTTCTCCAAAAGTGAAACTAGAATTATTGAAATAGGATGTTTGTATATTTTCACCAACACAATGGTATTCCTATAGCAAATTTCAAAAAACTTTTTACTTATTTATATAATAGTTCTGTACTTCTCTTGCTCGCAAATTAAAAGAAATTTACAAAGAGATAAAAGTTGGTTTATGGAGATTTCTTTCAATACTCACTTTCCTGATATATTTTTGAGTTGAATGTATCACAATATAGTGCACAGATACAGAAATAGGTTGAAAAAGGTTAAAAATCTTGAAACTTTTAGACTGCCAGAAAGAATTTAAGTAAAAAGCATTTTGATTAAGAGTTCGACAGAGTTTCAACTGTCAGAATGATTGGCATTCTTCATAGAAGCTAAGTTTATTGATTATATTTCATATTAAGTGTAAATAAAAACACAAAATCCATGGCATAAAATTTAACATTTGGGATCAATGGTTACTCACTGCCACTAAATCACAATCACAAGTTTAATGATCCAGTTTTACATACTGTGCAGATAGTCATTTAATAAGATATTTAATAAGATATTTAACATTATGCCAAGTTGCCTGAACACTATACTCTGTAATCATAATATAAGCAGATTAGAAGAGAATGTTATTATGAAGATGTAAGTTGTGAAAATATTTTGTAAGAAATAATATTTTAGATATAATACTAAAGTCAGTTGTTTTTTTTTTTTCATGATAAAGGGACTGTATCTTGACGTTTTTTATTTAAATATATATATTACATGCTGATTGTTATGTATAATATTTGACAATGTGTATTTGTTATATTATACACTGTGTAATTGTTATGATAAACACAGTGTAATTGTTATGATATACACAGTGTAATTGTTATGATATACAGGTACTTATTATTAGATTAATGATGAGATTTTATCATGTTATCAGACCTACCGGTACTAAATTTAATCTACCATTAAACTGAAAACATAATATCATTCTTTTTACAGACACAAAGTCTATTTACAATGTAAAATTTTAATGAAAATCATGCACATTAAAGCAACATTTCAATTAAATAGTAAGAGAAAGATAACAACAGCTGATGTCAGAATTATAAGTTAATAGTTTTCATTAAAATTTCATGAATAGTGCTGTGCTAAAGTGTAGGAAATCCTGTTGAAAGGACCACCAATAGTTATGAAAGAAAATCTAAACTTTATATTTCACCTTGAAACTATTCAAATATCTATATG